TGGGGAATTCTGGGAGTTGAAGTTCACACATCTTCAAGTGGCCAAGGTTGAGAAACACTGGAGTAGATAGTCAGCGAAATATTTCAGACACAACTGGCCAACTTCTTGGAAGAATCTGATTCTATCAGCTTTGTTAGGTTGTGTATACAGTACTTTAACTTAAACTGAAATGATTGATAGGAGCTTCCACTGAAGCACTTTGACCTAGGAAACCCCAAACTCTCTGTATCACGGAATGCAGAAATGAGGATGGAATAATGTTTGGATCTTTCATTTATTAAAATGATTTTTTTTCCTGCCTTTGTAAGCAGACGGCTGGGCAAAATTCCCCTTTCTCAGATTCAGGATGCTTTACTTTCAGCTTCTCCCACATCTTTCCAGTTACGCTACTTTAAAGAGTCCTGGCACAGAACATACTAGCAGTAAAGGTTGTCATGGAGGTGGGAGGAAGGATCCAAGTTAGATTCTCCTCTCTACGGTCTTGGAAAGGAAGAACATAAACAACTTATATCTCCAGGCACTATAGAATTGTATCCTCAACTTAGCCAGTTTTGAATTAAAAGGTATATTTTTATCTCCATGTCTTATATTACACAGCAGAAACATACAGTTTTAAAACTTTGAATGACTAAAAAATAATAGCTTATCCATTTTTTAGCAATTCCAGGCCATGGTGCAAATACAGCTGAGAAGTATTGATTACATATTTGTCCAAATAAATGGCCCACTACTGGAAATGATGCCAATAATAGATGTGGATCTATGGAGAGAGATGTGTGAGAGAGGTAATATCTTTACAAAAAATGCTCAATGAGTTGTAATTCAACCTGGAAATGGATAAGTGTAACTTATACTGAAGGAGAGACCTTTTACAGTTTGTACTAACGCTATGCACCTAGACATTTTCTTGAACAGTATGTTCAGTAGAATATGTACAATAATCCAGTTTTCCTCAGAAAAAGCTTGGATGAATTTATTCATGTAGTCCCTCATCTCATCTTCGTCTTGGCACATATTCACTCAACTGACCTATTATGAAATTAATCCCAGGCTGTTTTGTATTAGTCAAGTTTAGCCTCATGTTTTTTTGACAAATTCCAGATGTTTGATTGTAATCATTTTAACGTTATCTAGATCAGCTTTCATGGACTGAACCAGTATCTTGATTGAAGCTTGTGACTAAGCAATATGTACAATCTCTGACTAGCAAAATTTTGGGAAGGGGAAGGAGAAATTCATGAAGCATGAGTGGGGAAAAAGTAATTTTGAATCTGTTGGTAGATATTTGGGTGGGTTTACAGTACAATAGAAAGACAATATCTGTTTATTTGACAATAACCGCATCAAAATGACCCCCTTTATTTCTTAAATTATGCTGTTGCAATGAATAAAGCTTAAAGTAATTCAGAGTGGATTTTTGTGTGAAAAGATTGTGAGCTCTACAGCATTCATTTTGAAGGCTTGAAATAAACAATTTTGCAGCCATGAAGGGTTAGAAAGTATGTCTTTTTAAATTAGAGATTAGCTAGAAGGCTATTTAGCTAGAACTAAGAAGTGGAAGTCTTAAGGCAAGCATAAACAATGGTTCATTGAGTTTCTCCTGGACTACCATGCATGACATGTGGCTGTGTTCTGATTTTGCTGGTCACAGAATGATTATAGAATTCAAAGGTAAGTTATTAAAAGTGTTACTGTTAAGTAAACAGGAATTTATTATGTTGAAGCAAATAATGATACCCTTCAAGAGAAGATCACTTTGCTGCCTGAGGTGCAGTAATATCATATATGTCCTGCCTTCTAGAAGCGGTCAAGGTGCTTAGTACTCAACAGGTTAGCCAAGCTAGTTTGGGTCAATGGCAGAAAATCCCATCAGTGTCCGCCTAGCACTAAAAGTACAATGACAGTGTCAACAACAATATACCGACTCTCAGAATCAACAGCCCAAAGTAGCCACTCACTCAGCTTACCAGTGTGAGGAAACACCTAGGGAATAGATCATTCTATGATTGATCCCGCACTCCTCCATAGAAACAAGAACATTGTTCTAGTTATATGAATAGAGATTGCTTTTGTATTATGAATCATTCATACTTACACCTTTCCCCTTGCAACTAACATTAGCCTTGTTTCACTTTTTTGCTGAGTTATTTGGAAAACCTTTTGTTGTCATTGCTAGTTTAGAGCCGGTAGAGGCATGGCAGTTTTAATAATGACAGTTTTGCTGAGTTGTGTAGCTTTGGGAATCAATAACATCTTTTAATTTTTACAGGGAAGAAATAAAAATGTATTTTCCACAACAACAGCTTTTAAAAAGAAGATGTAGCCAAATTTATCATACTATGACCCACTATTAAGGTGGATATCTACCTGAAACTGAGGTCCTTTCAAATGGGTTTCCTGCAGAGCACATTCATGAAGTAGTTCTAGAACAAAGATTTTTTGCCCCTTGAAACCAGTCTGCAAATTGATGTGGCTCCCATTCCTTCCTAAAAAAACCCCAAAACCCATATTGAACAATCATATTTCTTTTTTAAAAAAATAAGCTTTTATCATGGTCATAGACTGACATATGCACATAAAATCCATCAAAATTCATAAATACAATAGTAGTAGAAGATCCAAGAGGCACAAAAATGATCAACTGCATAAACAAGTAAACATTTAAGTGCTTTTGTGAAGTTTCAAGTAGAAGCCTTCAATGGATAAAGGATGTGACAAGCTTTGCCGAGAACCTATCTCTGTGAATCAAGTCAAAAGCTGTCTTTAAATCAATAAAAGCAACATATTAAGTACCTCTTTGACATTAAGAGTATTTTTCTACTAGATAATCTAGTATAGATCACTTGGACTTGAATCTGGTTTGCTCCTGAGCCCAAAGTTTGTCTTGGATCAACCAGTCAGCTAGCTTCCAGTGAGCTGTTGGTACAACTGAGAATACTTAGAAGAATAATTGAGCTGAAATTAGTTGGATTGTTTCTAGTTCCTTTCTCAAAGATTGGAACTATGATAGATAGATCCTCAGGTATCTGGAGAGAATGGTCAAAGGAGGTGTATCAAGACGGTTAAAGAAGCCCATCAGTCAGAGTTAGTTTTCAAAAACTCAGCCAGAATTAAGTCTGTCCCATCAACCTTGCTGTTTTTCAATTATGGAAGGA